GTCCTTGACCGAGGGATTAGAGGGGGTCCTCGGTGTTACTGAGGAAGGCGTGGCCTGGGCTGGGAAGGAGGTGAGGTTTCTATGTAGGAATGGATGTCGTTTTTAACAAGCATAAGACAGAGGTCACTAAATGGTCCTACTAGGGGGTTAGTTCCTTCCGGTAACAAGTGGGGGTGGGTGGAGGGCTTCATATACAAAAATCTAGTCCTCCAGCTTCCCGTGGAACTGGGAAGCCACAGCCACACTTCCTTGGGTTTGGTGCTGCAGCTCTAAGCCTCAGCGCAGACCCTGCCTCCTGCTGCTGCCACTCCAGCCCGCTGCTGGTCTGTCTGTCACAGGACCCTCTGCTGTGCTGTGGGGAGCCAGAAGTAATAAGAAACTGGACTCTCTGTCTGCCTCAAAAGCCAAGTCCAAACTAAGAACCTGCCCCGAGCGGGCCGTGCGCGGCTACCAATGCTGTGTCTAAGGATTTGGCTACCTGTGTTTATGCTTGTGTGTGGGGCTGTGGGCTGTGCACACGTGTGAATGTGGAGGTCAGAGGACAAGTTGGGGGAGCTGCTTCTTAACCCCCACTTGTGGGTTCCGGGCAGTGAATCTGGGCGGCCAGGCTTGGCGGCAAACCACTCTACCCTGAATGACCATCTCGTTGGCCCCTCCTTGTGTGTACAGGTTTGTGTGTGTGCTGTGGAGGAGGCTGGAGGTAGATACACGGTATTGTCCTCAGTTGCTCTCTTCCTTATTTTGTGAGACAGTCTTTCACCGAGCCTGGTGGGGGTTAACAGGAGGTTAAAGGAGGAAAACCCTCCTTTTCTTCCTTCCTTTCTTTCTTTTTGAGATAGGCTCCCAGACCTCGGGCTGGCCTTGGCCTTGAGTATGACCTTGAACTCCCAACCCTCCTGCCCCACTTCACGTGTGCTGGGGTCCCCCCGGGGTTTGCAACCACGTCCAGTTTACTCATGCTGAGGATGAATCCACGCGCGCTTGCAAGCCTTCTACCTATGGAGCCACAGCCCGCTGTCCGCCATCTGCTTTTTCTAACAGGCAATGGCAGAGGGGGAGGCAACGTGGAACAGCTTTAGGAGAGAGAGTCTGTCTTAGTGAAAATAGGAACCCCCAGAGGCCTGTGGGTGCACTCTGGAGAAAGGTTGGGCTAAGTAGGTTAAGAGAATTGGAGAGAAACTCAGCTCCCCAGCCGGCAGAAGAGAACTGAGCCCTGCTCCATTTCCCAGAAAGCCCTCCTGGAGCTCCTCCTCTACTCTGAATTGAAGTTCGCACTGAGAGGTTGGGCAGCCTGCTAGCAATGCACAGCCAGTGAAGCCAGCCTCTGAGCTGGGCGTTTTGGAACCCAGACTGCACGCCAGCTTCTTCACCTGCCTTGATCCTCTCAGCAGCTCTGGTAGGCGAGCCTGCTCGCTGAGTCGGACTGTGCACAACGTGGTCATGTGACTTATGTTCTTTAAGCACCTAGCAGGTTCCATGCAGTTCCCAGAGCTTGAGTCTTGGAATATACCACCCAGTGAAGATACGATCCTCAAGTCGGGGTTCCCTCAGAGGGATCGACAGCTACCACAGGCTCCCTTAACTGCCTCACAAAGGCTGCAGCAGATCTGGCTCTGGGGTCCGTCAGTGAGGACCCATCAGAGTCTAGAGGCGCCTGCCTGGTGGGATCGGCACTCTAGGAGAGGCCACAGGGACGTCTTGGTGTCTGACCGTGGAACCCAGGAGAGGAGGGCCAAGCCTCAAGTATTTCCCTCCCCCAATGTCTGGCCTGGCAGCGCCTCAAAAGAGTGAGAGTGTCAATTAGCCCTGGGAGACCACAGGCCCTGAAATAGAGCCTCCTTAGCCCCAGCTGTCCACAGGCTGACTCACTCTGGAATGTGGCCGGGACTGACTCGGATTGGCTTGGGGTCCAGCGCAGGGGAGCCGCTGGCTGCCTGAGGGGCTGGGCGCCCAGACTCCAGCTTCCTGCCTTTGTCTGTGCCTTCTTGGGTTTCTCTGTGGGAAGAAGGGCATAGCCAGAAATAACACCTGGTTCAAGCCTGGAGGAAGTGGCCTCTCCGGCCCCCGAAGATGGCCCAGGGACAATCACAGGTGACTGTTTCCTCATTTGTAAAGTGGGGGTACAAATGCTCACTAGGGGGTGACCACTGGAAACCCAGCACTCCCTTGGGGAACCTCCAGGCAAGGGCCTCTGTCTCCCCATGACTTTTCTTCACTGTAAAAGTGGAGCCTGTGGTCTACCAAGTATCAGGGGAGGAGTCACGGAGTTATGGGAGGAGCCAATGAGTCAGGGGAGGAGCCACCGAGTTATGGGCTCTAAACACCAACTGCAACTACCCAGGAAGGCAAACACTGATGTTCTGAGTGGCAGCTCCCGTGGAGCTGTAGCTCAGTAAAGGACACCCAGGAGGCTTCTGGGTCTTTCTCCCAATTGCTCCTGGCTGCCAGGTGTCAGGGGATCTCCTAGACATTCCTTTTACTCTTGTTGGATGGACAGTGTTCATAACGCAGTTCTTCCCATTTTATAGACCAGGAAACGGAGGCAGAGAGCAGCTAAGTTATAAACTGGCTGGAAGTCCAGCTGGATTTGAGCCCAGGAAGACTGGCGTCCAAGTCTGGGTGGTAACCACTGGCCATCTGGCCACCCTTGCACAACCCACTTTTCTGGGTCTTGATCCCAGACTTGGGCCTGGGTTGGTAGGGGCAGGTGCACACTAGCTACTGGGCCCCGGCATGACAGAAGAGCCCTCTAGCCCAGGGCTACAAAGGGATTGGGAAGGCAGAAGGCCCCTGCAGCCCCTGGAGCCCCCTAGCAGCGGAGACGTGCTGGCTTTGTTGGGCTTCTCTGAGCTCAGAGAGGCTGAGTTTGCCAATGATTCAGAAGCTGTCCGGTGGGGCAGGGGGTGAGGTGCTGAAGAGTGAGGCCCTTCCTGAGGCCCCCAACATTGTCTCCTGGTATGCTGCGGTCTTCTCCAGCCTTGGCCATCTTGTCCCACTTGCTTCTGACCCCCACTCTCTAGGGACAACCCAATGGAGATGCCGGAAGCAGAGGGAGAAAGGTTGGGGAAAGCCTGTGCTCCCCTGAATTGCTGGGTGTGAACCAAAGTGGGGAAACTGATGCCAGGCCTTTCCTCCTGGACAGTCACCAGAATCCCCGGCCCTGTCCTCCTCCCTCTTGCCCCACCTTACTGCTACCCTATGTAAAAAACAGGTCACTGAGAGATTCCTGCTTCAACCGCTCCACAGGATCCTCAATATATGTGGTGTAGAAGCCAGACTCTCTCCTGACCTTCAGGCCCTCAAGGTCTTCAAAGTCATTTCTAACACCCTTACTTACCTAATGTCTGTACATTGTCCACTTGGGCCACGCCACTCTAGAAAGCCCCATCCCGCACACTTCCACCCCAGGGCCTTTGCACTCACCATTTCCTCTCCCTGCAGCTTCTTCTCCCCTCCTCCCACAGTCTTTTCACCCTCTGGCCATGGGGACATCCTCCTCCATCACCTTCTTCTTCCGCCCAGGCTTCCACTGTCCTGGTCATTGTTCTGAACTTTTTATTCAATGAGATACAACTCACATATCATAAAATTCAACACTTAAAACTGTAACTCAGGGTTTTAGTATCGTCATGAAGCTGGATGGCCGTCACCCCTAATTCCAGAACATTTTCTCGCTGAACCGAAACCTTGAATCTGTTGGCAGCCATTCTCCATGCTCGAGCCCCAGGCATCCTCTAATCTACGCCTAGCCCAGTGGATTTCCCGACTCTGGGTCTGGCTTCCACTTAGCCCCGTGCCTGTAAGGCTCAGCACTGCTTCGTTCTTTCTTCGAGGCTGAATGGTATTCTGTAGCATGGACACGCCATGTGCAGTTGATCTCACGCAAAGCTGTTTCTGCTTCGTGGCTGTTATGAGCAATGCTACCATCGGCAACAGCGTGCCTGCTTACCTGTGAGCATGTTTCTATTTCTCGGGGGTAGATTGCTTTGTTGTGTAGCATGCGTAAAGGTTAAGGAGCTGCCAGCCTGGTTTCTAAAGTAGCTGTGTCCGTGGACACCGTGTATTCCAGTTTCTTATTTATTTATTTATTCATTCATTCGTTTGTTTGTTTTTTCAACACAGGGTTTTTTTGAGTCCTGGAACTCACTCTGTAGACCAGGCTGGCCTCAAACTCACAGAGATCTGCCTGCACCTGCCTCCCGAGTGCCGGGATTAAAGGTGCACGCCATCACCGCCCTGCATGTTACAGTTCCTTCATATCCTTGCAAACTCTTATTTTTCTTTTAACTTAAAAATGAAAAAGCCCTGCAGCCGCTAGAGAGTGGGTACAAAATAAGGCCTTTGTGGGAAGGAGAGACAGCCTACATGCTTGGCCTCCCCCAGGCCATGGCCTGGCTCTTGCCGTGGAGGGCTCTCAGGTTTGGAACCACTGAGCGGAGCGGAGCCTGCGTCCTGCCAATCTGTCACCGGCACTACTCTCTTCCTGTGGGCAGCAGAGGGAGTGTGAAATGACCCAAGCCCAGACTGGCTCAGAGAATTCTGCTTTTCTGCTGGGTGCTGGAAGCTTCCTCCCTCAGGGAGCTGCCTATGCCTGGCCCCCAGCCTCCACCCGCACCTTTGAGCCTATTCTCTACCCAGAGGCCAGTGGGTCTCCAGAACTTCCTGGCACTGGTCGTCCTCAGCACACACCCTCCCAGGAACCCCACCTCACTCAGAGACTAAGCCACAGTTCGACTACCCACGAGACCATAGGGCCTCACCCAGAGTCTCTCTAGCTCTGGCTACAGCTACACACCCTTGTCCTTATTCTTTAGGCTTACCCACACCTGCTCCCACACTGTTCTCTGAGCCCGTCGTAAAACCCCAGGACCTTTGCTCTTGCTGTTCCTCCTGCTGGAACGTCTCCAGCTGTTTGTTGAGCGCCTCCTGTGACTTCTCCATGGCCTCTACTCTCTGTTCTCTCTCTTATCACACGGGGCTAAGTGCTGTGGTTTCTGCAGGCGACCTGGTGAGCCTCCCTTGGACCTGGGCAGCATCCCCTGGCTGGGCCATGCCTTGGAGTTTGGGAGAGACGCTGCCAGCTTCCTCACCAGGATGAAGGAGAAGCATGGCGACATATTTACTGTAAGTGTTACTAGGGGGAAGGGGTGAGTGGCTGGTTCATCACTGGGGTCATCGACTCCTTCAGCATCCACCCACACACTGACCCATGCATTTGTCACCTGAGGGGGTGGGGCTGACTGTCCGTCCGTCGGTCCAACTGTGCATACCATGTATCAGTCATCAGCAGAGTACTGGGCTCTAGGGTGTCTAGAACCGCTCTCACAGGCACACCCAGGGATGGGCTTCTGTGTTTAAGGTGCTTCTCAATGCAATCAGGTTGGGAATTGAGATTAAATATTACACTTCCCCCATCCATTAATCCATCTTTCTGTATACTCACCAAATTTTTCTACCAGCTCTCATCTATCTGTCCACCTGTCTGTCTGTCTGTCTGTCTCTCATCTATCTAGTCTATTGTTTTTAAGATTAATTTTTATTAATGTATCTCTCTCTCTCTCTCTCTCTCTCTCTCTCTCTCTCTCTGTATAACATCTGTTTGGGTGACTACAAAGGTCAGAGGAAAAAGTGTAAGATCTCCTGGAGCAGGAGTTACAGATGTCTGTACAGGAGCTGAACTCAGAACTCAGGTCCTCTGGAATCCAGCCAGGGCTCTAACTGCTCTCCAGCCTCTGCCTACCTCTCAAATTCTCCCAGCATCCTTCCACTCATTCACCAACCCCCACCCAGCCTCCGTCTCTAGGGTCCATTTCCTCTGACTTCCCTCCACTCATCTCCCCACCTCTATCTCCACCGACCACAGCCCACCCAGTGCTCACCATCTACCCATTCAGCACCTGACTCTGTCTCCTCTCTGCACGTGTACTTTTGTATTTCATTCACCCACCCTCCTATCTACCCACCCACCCATCTGTCTACCCACCCACCCATGCATCCACCTTCCCTCCCACCCACCCATCTACCCACCCTTCCACTCATCCACTCATCCACCCCCCACCCACCCGCTCTTCTACAGTTAGTCTGCTGGTCCTTACCCAGCAATGCCCATCCATCCACTCACCCTTCCCTTTGTGTGGTACCGGGAGTTGAACTCAGGACCTCATGCACACGAGGAAATCCCATACCATTTTTCATCTTCATGCCCCAGCCCCTTTCCCCCTCTTCATTTGGAAACAGGGTCTTACTATTACTTGGGTTGGCCTTGAATGCACTCTAATCCAGTCAGGCCTTGAACTTGGGATCCTCCTGCCTCTGCCTCTATGGTCCTGGCTACACCCTTTCCTTCTAGAAGGCTTTGGCTGGTCTTAGCTCTGCTGCTTTTCAGCATGGAGATCTTAGGCACGGTGTCCCTTCTCCCAGCCTAGACGGGTGAGTGGCGGTCCCTAGCTCACACGATTGGTGGGACAAGCAAGAACACTGCTGCCTGGTGCCTGTGGGGCCAGTGCTTGCCCACAGATGCCTGAATGCAGAGTCCGCCATCACTCCTGCCCACACTCCTCCAACAGGTGCTGGTGGGAGGCAGGTATGTCACCGTTCTCCTGGACCCACACTCCTACGACACGGTGGTATGGGAGTCGCGGACACGGCTGGACTTCCACCCCTATGCCATCTTCCTCATGGAGAGGATTTTTGACCTGCAGCTTCCAAATTTCAACCCCAGCGAGGAGAAGGCCAGGATGAAGCCGTGAGTGCAGAGATGGGCTTGTGGGTGGGCCTGCTGGGGCTTCAACCCTCCATCCCAGATGGGTGGTGCTTGGGCCTTGTCTCAGTCAGGGTTACTATTGCCATGACGAAGCATCATGACCAAAGTAGCTTGGGGAAGAAAGGGTTTATTTGGCTTCCACTTCCACACCATCATAGTCCGTCGCTGAAGGAAGTCAGGGCAGGAACTCAATCAGGGCATGGAGGGGTGCTGCTTACTGGTTTGCTTAATAGGACTTGCTCAGCCTGTTTTCTTATAGGGCCCAGACCCACTATCCAGGGATGGTACCACCCACAATGGGCTGAGCCCTCCCCCATCAATCACTAACTAAGAAAAAGTCCTGCAGGTTTGCCTACAGCCAAATATTACGGGGTTATTTTCTCAACTGAAGGTCCCTCCTCTCAGATAACTCTAGCTTGTGCCAAGTTGACCTAAGATTAGTTGCACAGCCCTGAAGCCACTGTCCAGGAGCGACAGTTAGAAAACAAATGCAGCCAGAATCCCAGTCTGGCCCACACCTGCTGGTTCTTGTTGCTACCACTAGAGTCTGCAGGTAACCCTGTCCCTTGGACACTCCAGCCAGTTGCTGCCAATTGTGGCTTAGGTGGAGCCTGATGTGTAGACAGCCGGCATCTCACCTTGGCTTTGCACAGCTGCTCCCCAGGCTCTGCTCAGCATGAACGAGGCCCAGGCCCCCCTAACTCTTGCCTCATGCCCCCCTAGTCTGTGTCACTCAGATCTACATGAAGAGAGCATTAGCAGCCCTCTGCTGGATTTCCCAGGGGAGGAGCCAGTTTCCTGGGCCCTCCATGTCCAGAAGCCGGTGGGAAGCCCATGGGTCCCTTGTCCGAGTTTGTGCACCAGGCAAGGACAGATTATCCTGACCAAGAGCTCTCATGATGTGGAGTGGGGCCGACTAGGGTTTAGCCCCAGTCTTACCACTCACTGGCTGCGTGGCCTTGTCCTGATGCTGTTCCGCATGCCTGAGTTCCTCCACCGTAAAACAGTGTCTCGGTGGTGACCATCATTTTAACACACACAGTCTTTTTTCTGAGTACAGTAAGGGTGAGTAGCTAATTTCTGTTGCTGGTCTCAGGCTGCTGATGCACAGAGACCTGCAGGCGCTCACGGAAGCTATGTACACCAACCTCCGCACGGTGCTGCTGGGGGACTCCACAGAAGCGGCCAGCGGCTGGCACGCGACAGGCCTCCTCGATCTCTCCTACAGCGCCCTCCTCAGGTGAGCCCACGACCTCGTCATGGGCGAGGACACCGTGGGAGAAGCTTAGAGCAGAGTGTAGTAGGGAGGTGGTTTAGGTGGGACCCAAAATTTACCTCAAACAACTTGTGCAGCAAAGCAGACGCTAGCTGCACAAGGGCCCCCAGCATTCCCTGGAGCAGGAGTCGCCGAGCTGGGCATCACAGAGCATCTGGCCTGGGGTCTAGACTCTGGCTCTCAAAGGCTAACAGAGAGGATGCTCAGGGGACCAGGGAGCTTGTCCGGAATCCAGACCTCATGACTGTAGTGAAAACAGTACAGCCGGTCCCATGGGACACAGCAGGGGACACAGCAAATGCATTCTTTATGCCTGGGAAGGCATAGATCCCGAGATAGGACATCTGGGGGTGTCTCCAGCCTCACTGATGAGCTCAAACTGTGGGACTGAGAAGCACCTGCTGTGCCAAGACCCTGGCGAGGAAACAGCGAATGCAAAGGTCCCGGGGTGGGAAGAGGCTGGGTGAAGGGGCCAGTGCGGCTAGAGCAAAGGGGACAGGTGGAAGAGGGGCGACCAGGTGGAGAGGTCTGCAGAAGCCAGGCTCGCAGCCTGGAGGAAGATCTTGGAAAGTAGATTCAGCCGGGTGGCGGTGGTGGTCCTTTAGGGACTGACAAAGGGGCCAGATGCAGTCTCCTTCAAATGCTTTATGCTCCTGTGCAGGGGACATCTGTAGGTGAGAACCAGACAGAGGGACCCACTGGGATGTGTGTAGTCTCCCAGGTGGGTCCCAGTGGAAACCTGTACTTGGGAGAGAACAAGAACACACGGTTGACACAGCCCACTGAAGGCTTTTAAAAGGTGGGGAGGGTCGAGAGACTGTTTCTCTCCCAAACGTTGATAGCACCATTAAAAAAAAAAAAAAGACATTTTAATTATCCCCAGAAGTTCAGAGCAGCACGTGTGCTTCTGATAAAAAGGCAGCTGTTTGTTGACACACGTGCGCACACAGGTGACATCAGGTCTGGGTGGCTGGATGGGTAAACTCACTTCATCTTCCGCAAGGTGGTAACTTACAGACCCCCTTGTCAGATGGAAAACTGATACCTGGGGACTCACTAGAGTCCCTGTCAGGGTCACAGGTGGCCGCTCTCAGCCACACCCGCAGCGGGGCACTCCTTCCTTCTCCTGCCGTGCGCTGTTTGCTGTTTGCCCAGGGAGCAGGCCTGCAGTGGCCTACACGGTGCCTGCTGCCTGATGCAGAGCTGATCTGCAGACAGCGGAACAGTCTCTGACGGTTTACAGCACCAGGCGCCACCTAGTGGCCTTCTGGATCCACTTACGTTAGTGAGCTGTTTCCCCAGCTACCCAGAGGCTATTCAAGAGATGGGAGGAAAAGAAACTTCCATGATGAGGCTGAGGTGTGGGAAGGTTGAGCTTACCTCTGATTCCTAGAAGTTCCTAGGGGGAAGTAGGCTTCTTGTTAGCCCAGAGGAAAGAGCAGGTGCTGGTCCCCTGCCCTGAGGACTTGTCCCCAGGACAGACACTAGGCTGGACTGGGAAGAGAAGTGGAGTGCACACAGGGGATGATGGTGACCTGGATGGCTGTTGTCAGACAGACTGTGGTAGCCTGTCACTACAGCGCTCAGCAGGGTGCTCTATTTATCTACCCATCTTTCCAGCCATCCTGCCACCCATCCACCCATCTGGCCACCCACATCCATCCTTCACTCACCCCTTCACCTCCTACCTAGTCCCGTCTATCTACCCACTCCTCCACCTGTGTATCCGCCCACCCATCCATATCCATCCATCCACTCACCTGTCTGTGTATTCGCCCCACACATCCACGTCCATCCACCCACTCACTCATTCCTCCATCAGCCTACCTACTGCCCCACTGACCCAACACTCACTGCAGGCCTACTCCTGCATGCACTGTGGGGGGGTGCAGGCCTACTGCTGCATGCACTGTGTGTGTGATTTGCAAGCCTACTGCTGCATGCACTGTGTGGGAGAGGTGCAGGCCTACTGCTGCATGCACTGTGGGGGGGAGGTGCAGGTTGGGGACTAGGCATAGTTCTCTCAGTCTCATCTTCCCTCATTCTGTTTCCCCCCATCTTCCTGCTTGGAAGATCTTCTTCTGGGAGACCCATGACTGGGGGAGTTCAAGAGGTAGAGTGGTGGTCTGCTTCATTCTGTTGCTGTGGAAAGACACTCTGAGTAGAAGAAACTTGGGGAAGAAAGGGTTTATTTTATGAAGACAGGAACCTGAAGCAGGGAAGGAACTAAAGACAGGAGCCTGAGGCAGGAACTGAAGACAGGAACCTGAGGCAGGGCAGGAACTAAAGACAGGAATCTGACTTGTTGCTGTCACCCCCAGAGCTGGATACCTGACCCTGTATGGAGTGGAGGCCTCGCTGCGCACCCATGAGAGCCAAGCGCAGGATCGTGTTCACTCAGCTGACGTCTTCCACACTTTCCGCCAGCTGGATCTGCTGCTCCCCAAACTGGCTCGAGGCTCCTTGTCAGGGGGTAAGCACTGTGAGGTCACATCAGAAATGGGTAGTAGTTCATGTCACAGGGTTTTTATTGCTGTGAAGAGTCACCATGACTACAGCAACTCTGGTGAAGGAAAAACGCTGGGGTGTCTGACGTCTTCAGAGGTTTGGTCCATTATCATCCTGGTGTGTCATGGCAGCCTGAAGACAGACACGGTGCTGGAGAAGTAGCTGAGTCCTACATCTTGACTCACAGGTAACAGGAAGTGGTCTGTATCACTGGGTATAACTTGAACACATGAGAGCTCTAACCCGCCTCCACAGTGACACACTTCCTCCAACAAGACCACACCCACTCCAACAAGGCCACACGTCCTAATAATGCCACTCACTTTGGGGGGCCATTTTCTTTCAAACTACTACAGATTTTATGCAAAGACTGGATGGTATTTCCCTTAAGAAGCAACAAGAGCCAGGCATGGTGGTACACGCCTTTAGTCCCAGCACTTGGGAGACAGAGGCAAGAAGTTCTCTGTGAGTTCGAGGCCAGCCTGGTCTACCTAGCAAGGTCTAGGACAGCCGAGGCTGCATAGTCAGACCCTGCCTCAAACAGCCAAAAATTAAAACAATTAACTAACTAACTAGTTACTATAAAAGAATCCATGATGAAGTATCCAAGGAAAACATCTTAAAGCTGGAAGGGTGTATTTTGGCTCCTGGTTTCCTAAGGTTTCAATCCACAGCCACATGGCTCCATTGCTGTTGGCCTGAGGTGTGGCTGAACATGATGGGGGCAGCAGCATTGCCTCATGGCAGCCAGGAAGTGGGGAAAGCTAGAGGAAGAAGTGTCTGGGGGGAAAGGCACCCCCTTCAAAGGCACATCCCATGACCTGCTGCCTCCAGGTCCCCGCTCCCACTGGCCCTTTCTGGCTGGGAACTCCGTTGGGCATTAACCCATCCATCAGGCCAGTGTCCCCACAGTCCAGCGCTCTCTCCTTAATGCCACCAGCTGGGGACCAAACCTCCAGCACATGAGCGTGTTGGAGACACATTTCATATCAGACCATTTTTGACAGAGGTTTCTGTCCCACCCGGCCCCACAACCATTCAGCCCCAAAGAAACACACACACATTAATTATAAACTGGTTGGCCTAGTAGCTCAGGCTTCTCATTAATTAATCCTTACATTGTAAATTAGCCCATTATTCTTGTCCATCTTAGCCACGTGGTTTGGTACCTTTCATCAGCGAGGCATTTTCATCTTGCTCCCTCTGTGTCTGGATGACGACTGCAGAACTGAGCTTTCCTCTTCCCAGAATTCTCCTGTTCTCCTTGCCCCATCTCTACTCCATGCCTGGTTGCCCCACCTATACTTCCTGCCTGGCTTCTGGCCAATCAGCATTTTATTAAACAAGTACAAGAAACAAATCTTTATAGGGTTAAACCATTGTCCCACAGCAGATCATGGTGGTCCATTTGGATTCAGAGATCTCAAGGAGACCAAGCCAAGTGTACATTTGATGGGAGCCATGAAGAGGCTCGGAAGAGCCATGTCTTCCGGAATCTCTCCTCTGCTGGTGGCTTTGAGCCAGCCACTTCTCTCTGTCCCCTGCTGTGGTGGTGTAGCACAGCAGAAAGGAGGGGAGGAGACAGACTCTGGACTTCACCTCCCCATGTCTCTGTGGTCTCACTGTGTCAGATGGGGAGGGTGGCACCATCTGAGAAGGTGGCGGTTAGGGCTGGCCAAGGTTGTAGCAGCATCACTTGCTGAGAACTTTTGTTCTGACCGTCAACCAGGCTGAGTGTGGTCACATCTGAGATACATCTTATGTTTGTTTGTTTGTGTTTTTTCGAGACAGGATTTCTCTGCATAGCCCTGGCTGTCCTAGAACTCACTCTGTAGACCAGGCTAGCCTTGAACTCACAGAGATCCGCTTGCCTTTGCCTCCCAAGTGCTGGGATTAAAGGTGTGCACCACCACCCAGCACATCTTTGTATTTTTTTAAAAATATGTTTTCTTTCTGCTTCATTTTGATTTTTTTTTTTTTCGAAACCAGGTCACTCTACAGACCAGGCTGGTCTTAAATTTAGGGTCCTCCTACCTCAGCCTCCCAAGAGCTAGGATTACAGGTGCCCATAGCCATGGAGCAATTTAAACACTTGCCCAGAAGATAAGGCCTAGGGCCACCGCCTGTCTTTCTGTTGGTTTGCCCGTCTGCTGGGTAGATGCTGCCACTTGCGTATCCTCACAGCATTGTCAGAACGCAGCCATCGGTCTTTAAGTTCTTGCCGATCTGGAGGGCAGGAAGGGCACTGGCATCCTGCTTACCTCCCCACCTGCCGTGCTGAGGTATCATGCTGCTTCTCTGGCTTCCGCGTGCCTTTTCTGTGAGCCGCCCACACACTCGTCTTTATAGGGAATGTTCATGTTCTAACGCGGTCCCTGGGGCTGATGTCACAGAACCCCCTTTGCAGACAGAAAGACTGAGGCTCACATAGGTGACATCACTTGTCATAGATGTAGCAGGTAGGTGGCAGAGTAGGTAGCATGCGCACTTTGTCTTGTTGGAAAAATACAGTATGTTAAACATGTGTCCCATCCCGGCACCAGTTGCTTCTACAGAAAACGTTAGCATTTCTTCATTGTCCGTTCTTCCACGGGAGCCCAGCCTTTCATGGCTGCACTTCCTAGTGTGCGCAGCAGGTGGCAGTGTTGGACAGTTGCCCTCAGGTGAAAACAAGTATTTCACCGACCTTTTGAGTGGGGCGGCGCGTGCACCAGAGACCAACTGGGCAAAGTCCACCAAAATATCAAATGTAGATTTTTTTTTCTCCTGTGCTCCCTCTCCCAGGAAATAATCCTCCAGAAATACACACATATGGTCCAAAGAAAGATACTCATGGCCATATTGCCTTTGACAGCAGGAGCTAGAACTCAGCTGGACCAGAGTAGGGGCTGATTAAATACATAAGGCATCTATGAGAGCAGACCCCAAATCTGTGAAATAGAAGGGGATGAAACCCATGACAGCTGGTGAACTTTTCACCTCGATCCAGATGTGCCAGTGAGGTGTGGCTAAAAAAGACAAGTCGGAGGTTCAGCGAGAAACCCTGTCTCAAAAAATAAGGTGGAGAGCAGTAGAGAAATGGTTCTCAACCTGTGGGTCGCGACCCCTTTGGGTCAAATGACGCTTTCACGGGCATTGCCTAAGACTAATTGGAAAACAGAGATATTTACATTACATTTCATAACAGTAGCAAAATTACAGTTATGAAGTAGCAACCAACAGTTTTATGGTTGGGGGTCAGCACAGCACTGTATTAAAGGGTTGGGGCATTAGGAAGGTTGAGAACACTGATCTAGAGGGAGGCTCCCAACATCGATCTCTGGTCTCCACATGCACACAGATGTGAGTGTGCCCGCCTACACATGTGTACACACACACACAGCCACAGGCTGCACGAGGGACTGAAAATGTCAGGTTGGTCCTCGGGGGCAGCAGACATTTCTGTGGTTGTGTTGAGCTCTTTGCCTCTTTTCTGGCTATCTGGTCAGGCGACCCTTTGTAAAATCCTCCCTATGTTGATCTCACCTGGAGATTCACACAGTCAGCCTGGCTGGAGCCTGGGCTCCCAGGACATTGGAAGCACTCAAGAACCAAGCATAGTGGGAGATGCCGGAAAGCTGTGTGCTTCAGATGAGCCCATGGGCTCACTGTTTAAATCTGGACTGTTGCACCGCCTGAAATGGTGTAAAGAAGCTGAACCCATTGTCTGAAACAATTGCCAACCGACTTCAAAAACAGTAAGACCAGGCTGGAAGATGGCTCAGTCTGCAGAGTGCTGACCACGCAGACGTGAGGACCTGAGTCCCGATCCCAGAGCCCACATAAAAAAGAGGGCTACGGCAGCACTGGGTTGACAGCTTTTCCAGTGGGATCCCCGGGACTTGCTGGCCAGCCAGTATACCACATCTGCAAGCTCAGCTTCAGTGACAGATACAGTGCCTCTGAAAGGAGGTGGACAGGGACCAATACTGAGCTTTAACTTCCATATACACATGCATGCATGTCCCTTTCAACATGTGCACACAGTAAGCCTACGCACAATGCCCTCCTTGACATGTGCACACTTGTAACCCTATGCATGCACCCTCAACACATGTACACTAGTAAGTCTATGCATGCTCACTCAATACATGCATAGTGAGCCTATGCATGTGCCCTCGATATGTGCACACTAGGAAGCCTTTGCATGCATGCCTCCCTCAACACATGCACACTAGAAAGCCTTTGCATGCATGCTCCCCCAACACTAGAAAACCTATGCACATATGCCCTCCTCAACACGTGCACACTTGTAACCCAATGCATACACCCTCAACATGTGCACACTAGGAAGCCTATGCACGCACCCTCAACACGTGTACACTCATAAGCCTATGCTTAGCCACGCGTTCCATCCTCACAAACTCCTGGGACTTGAGGCTGCCAGGTCTGCACCTGGCACACAGTGAGAGAGCTTCCAGCAGCCCCAGGAGGTGCCCAGCTTCCCTGGGATAACTTTGGAGACCAGTGAATGTCATGTTTGTGTGTATGCTCTGAGGTGGGGTGTAAAGATGAGACTAGTTCCCCAAAAAGCGTTGCCAGGCATGTCCCCTGGTCCAGATGGGCAACCACTGTGGTGTCACTGAGGGATGTAATAGATGGGACACTGTACAGCATTCATGTCAACAACCCAGCCTTGCCTGGTAGCTCACAGACTGCAAGCCAGCGGTGTTGTTCCACACAGACCCTCGGTGCCTGGCTTGGTTTCAAACACACTGCCCTCCCCTGTGGACCGCCTGTGTAGACAGAGGTCCTCTCCTATCCCTGCTGCACGTCCAGGCTGGTGTCCTTGAAGCAAAGCTGACCTTCAGATAGTCTGAGATACTTTTACGGCCTGTGCTGACTTCAGTGCCACTGTCACAAATGCAAAGAGGCCAGGGTGCAACTCAGATACGCAATGGCGTGCGTTCCATCCCCAGCAGCAGGAACAATAGACAGAGAGACACATGTGTTTCCACAACACCTGGATCATTGGCTTGTTTAGAAAACACCGAGTCTTCCTGGGTGGAGCCACTTGCTCCAGCATGCCTGGGGGGTGGGTTGCAGCAACCAGGAGGTCTCCCCTTTCTTCAGGTCTACATGGCTTCCTCGGGGTCTCTTCCTTTGCTGACCTTACCTGTCTGCTCTAGAGGAAGTTGAGTGGAAAGCCCAGGTCTGTGTCCCCACCAATGGTCAGTGCGGCTCTTTCTGGTATGCTGAGGCCAGTCTTGTGCGCGCAGGTCCCAGGGAGGGAGGCTGTTGCCTAGAGTGTGATCCTCTTATGCGGCCCCGAGATCCCCACACATTTATTAAATCTCGATTGAGTTCTTGCTATGGAGAGTTCTCTGTTGCAGGGACAGGCTCTTATGCCTTTCCTAAGCACTATGGGTCCTAAACAAGGTGTCTCACAGGGCTTCACCCCAAGCCTTCCCACCAGTGACACCCAGAGTATCAAGTGTGCAACTTTGTGAAAAGCTGAGGCTGGGTGGCCCTGTCCTACAGGTGACTCTAAACCCTTCCTCTTCTGTGTTCTGTCCCTGCAGGGGATAAAGACCATGCATGCAGTGTCAAAGGCCGCCTGTGGAAGCTGCTGTCCCCAGCCCAACTAGCCACCAGGGTTGACCGGAGCAGCTGGCTGAAGAGTTATGTGAGGCATTTGGAAGAGATGGGGGTGTCGGAGGAAATGCAGGCCCGGGCCCTGGTGCTGCAGCTCTGGGCCACACAGGTGGGTATATGGGTGTGTAGGTGTGGAATTCACATGCATCTGGTGGTGTGAGCACACGAGGGTGTAAGCACACAGCCTGCTGGCGACTTTGTCCTGTCCAGCAGCTTTGTAACCAGGCAGTCCGTATGATAGGTAACATATGGAAAAAACGGCAGACTGATAGAAAAGTGGGTTTCATGTAGCCCAGGCTTGCCTCAAACTTCCTATGTAGCCAAGGATGACCTTGAATATGTGATCCTCCTTCTACCTCCTGAATGCTGGGATTATAGGTATGTGCCACCATGCCTAGTTTATAAGATACAGGTGTAGACAAGGAAATTCACCTGGAGTTTAATGAACTCCTGTACACGCTACCTTGGTTCTCCAGCCCCTCGCACCCCAGTTCCTTTTTTTCCCTCTCTCCTGCTGTGATTTTTGTCCCATTTGTGACTAAATTGCAGATAACCGAACTCTTTCCCTCTGCTTACATCAGAACATCTCCCACATGACCATGCCTGACATCAAACTAGATGGCTTAGCCCAGCCCTGCGATCGTGGTCTCAGCGGCATGGTGCCTCTGTCTTTTGTTACTTTCCCATCCCTGTGATGGGATACTCCGACCAAAGTGTCTTCAGGCAGGGAGCGGGTATTTTAATCACAGCTCCAGGTCGCAGGCCATCACTGTGGGAAAGCCACAGCGGCAGGCAGTTGACGGCTAGTCACAGTACACTGGTGGTCAAGAATCAAAGAGCGGCGAACATCGTCTGCGCTCAGCTCCTCTGTCCCCTCAAACAGGGCAGGCCCCATCCCGGGAGCGCAGCTGCCTCGGGTAAGGCAGGTTTGTCCTCACAGGTGTGCAGAGCCCTTCCTTCTCCCAGGCTGTTCCCCATCTCAAGCTAACAGCTGAGAAGAGTCACTCAGGGTTCACCCTGGCCTGGGCCTCTGCGTCAGCATCTGACATGGCACCGAGCCATCCCACCTCCTCAGTCTCCGTTCTCCTGGCGCTGTTCTCGTCTTTTCACTGCTTTCCATGACCGTGGCATTTTTCGTGGTTGTTCTTGTAGTGTGAAGACCAGCGATTCTTAGAATTGCTGAAAAACTCCTTCGAGGACCTGCAGCAGGTCCTTCTGGGAATGCCTGCGCTTCAGACAGGCTGGGGCAGGGAGCTGGGGTCCAGGAGCCACACTCAGTGACTGGGGAGGAGAACTGTAGTGGGAAACCCGGCTGGGACTGGGGCCATCCTGGGAGTCACAGCCAGAGGCGCGGCAGGGAGGCTCAGGGGAGCCAGACTTAGGGATCTGGGAATTTGGAATATTGTAGGGCAGGGGAGGCAGCAGGTATGAATAGTGGAACCTGCCAGGGGCAGCCCCAAGGGGTTGAGCGGGCTGCAGCCAGGTGAGCGAGCATACCAAGGGAAGAGTCCCGATGTAGAGCTAGGAAGAGTTCCAGATTTTAGTGTGTGTGTGTGTGTGTGTGTCTGTGTGTGTGTCTGTGTGTCTGTGTGGTACCTAAGAGGCCAGTAGAGGGTGGCAGATCTTCTAGAACTGGAGTCACAGATGGTTGTTAGCACCATGTGGGTGTTGGGAATTGAACCCAGGTCCTTTGAAGGAGCAGAGCATGCTCTTAACCTCTGAGTCATCCCTCCACCCTTGATTTCTGAGATCTTAAGGTTCCCCTTAAGGACAGGAACAGGAGGCTATGCTGGCCACTGAGATACTGGAGAATGACGCGTAAATCTAATTAATCGTATCGATAAAAACCAGGAATCAGAAATCAGGGTAAAAATTTGAAAGATCAGAGAAGCAGAGGGGCAGCCACAGTCCCTTCCCACCTCTCTCGTTCATTCATCCAAAAGACCAAGATCCTGTCTCAGCCCCGCCTTACCGCTTCCTGACCTCTCTCTACAGTCCTCCAAACCTCTATGGTCAGCTAGTGGCTGGCTCTGCCCTCTGACTCCAAGCAAGCTTTATTTGTCAGAACGCAATGGAAACATCACACAGCAGGAGAGTCAGATAGATGCAGGGAACTAAGACGGCAGTCAGTGACGTGGGGCCCTGGAGCAAACGCTGACGTGTGAGAAAGGTGTAGCCTCTTGAACGCAGTGAGTCTGAGGCCTGGTCTCTGGTCTCACCCCGCCCAGCCCCTTACCTTCTCTAGGCCCCACTTGGCAGTGACTGTCGGACAGGCTAATGTCCCTGGGTGGTTCCTCTCCATCGACCGGCAACTTATTTTTAGTTGTCCTCAGAGCTATTAACTGTCCTGCAGGCGAAGGCTGGCAGGGGCTGGCCAGGGCTTAATCAGCAGTTGGCCCTATGCAGGGCTGATAACATATTTATGGGCTAGAAGGACAGGGTGCTCCAAAGTGTCCTCAGAGCCCCCGTGGAAATGACCTCCGCCCACAGAGTAGGAAGTTGGCCAGGCACTCGAGAGCCAGATCCCAGGGAGTGGCCTCCGGCAGGGCTAAGAGTAGGGACAGGTCTTCCCAGCAGAAGGGTCCAAAGGACTCTGAATCGGGACAGCAGGGCAGGGGGCTGTATTGTCAAACAGTCTGAACGCCAGCTGTGGGGCCTAGGTATGGCTTTCCCTTTCTAGCAAGTCAGTCACCGCACCCTGCAGTGCCTCGGTTTACCCATCTGTACAATAGCTATGCAGCCCCTTCCTCAGGGTTAGCTGTGACAGTGAAGGGAGCTTTTAGATCCACCCCCGGCAGTGGCAAAGGCTTATCAGGTGTTTCCACAGAGATCTGTAGAAATGGGCCTAGAGTTCACCCCTGTGCACTTGGGACCTTGGGAGCTGGAGGCAGGAGGATCAGAAGCTCAGGGTCACCCTCTTCTACACAGTGAGTTTCAGGCTAGCCTGGGATACATGAGACCTTGTTTCCAAAACCAACCAAACGAAACATCGGCAACAGAAATGCATCAGGCTCCACACGTGCGTGGCCTCATTCTAGAAACTGCGTATGGAGTTGTGGGAAGGGCAGATGAAAGTTCTCATCTGTGGAGCAAGCCTCTGGCAGGGAAGAGCCCAGTTAATGGATGGGGGAGTCAGCGAGGTCACTAGAGAGACCTCAGTAGGCAGGTGGCATCTGAGCAGAGGTTTGGCGTGAGCCACCGTGGGAGTCTCTGGGATGAGAGTTTCAGGCAGAGAGAATAGGTGCAAAGGTCGTGGAGAGGCAGCAGGTGTCACAGAGCCCCTCCAGACCTCGTGGGTATGAGAGAGCTTTATTCCAGGCGAAGTGGGTCCCCTAAAGACTGTGTAGCAGCAGAGTGTGGCCTGTTGGGCTTTCGAGGGGAAGAGGAAGCTGGGGAACCACAGTCTCTAGGTCAGAGAAAGTGGAGTGGAGGGCAGGGGAGAGGTGGCGGGCTCTGCGGTCCCCCATGGTAGGTGCAACCCTGGGAGCCAGGATCAGTAAGTATCCAGTCGGGTTTGGGTCTGAGCCCAGGAGAGAGAAAGGACTGTTAATGGCCGGGGAAGATGGTAGGGGGAGCAATCAAGGCAGAGGCTCGGGGTTTGGTCACATGAGATGCGGCTGGTCTAGATGCTCAGGGTAAGGATGTAGGGCCCAAGACAGACCTGTGGGACCCAGAGGTGGACAGGTGGCACTGGGGATAAGGGGAAAGAAGCAGGGTCCCAACCCAAGGGCTCTTCAGATGGAAGGGTGGGAAAGTCAGGGAGCCAGCCAAGGAGGCATGGGGGCGGGGCTGAGGAGGTGGGAGATACCCGTACAAATAGCTGTTTGAGAGGCAGGATGAGGAGGCCAAGGAATCTGCTGAGGTGGAGGAACCGTAGCTGCGGCGGCTATTGCGGATCGGAGACTGGGTCTGAGCTCTCCTGTGGACCGACCGTTGCATTGAACATGCTGCAGACATCATCCGGATCCTCTCAAAGCTGGGTGAAACTGGGGCCCCAAGGCCAGGAGGAGACTGCTGGGGGAGGTAGCACACAGCCCAGCATCCCAAGGCCTGGGAGGAGGCAGCTCCTGAAGACTGAGATCTAAGGTCCAGGCTGGGCTGGGTTGGGGGTGGTGTCTGGAGCTGGCACAGGCTGGCTCCAGCCTCAGGCAACCACCACTCTGGGGATCCTGGTGATAGAAAACTGATTGGCATCACCCCCTCAGCCCAGCCTCCTTTCCGCATCCTCCTCCTGTTTCACCACTGCCTCTGCCTTCAGCCTGACCACAAGATAAGGTTAGACCAGAAAGCCCTTCATAAGCTCACAGAGGCTAGACCCCCGGGGGGGGGGGAGAAGCCAGGGTGCACATATGTACACACACACACACTGTGCAGTTGGCAGAGGCTGCTAAGGCCATGCACCTGTCTCTCTCCAGTTTTCTATTTGATTTCACATTCTAACGTGGACAACCCTCACAACATGGTAGACCACCATAAACTGTGCAGGACACATACCACAGTGCATCCATTAGAAGCAGTACGTCCAATAGGAAATTCAACTGGGGCCAGGTGTGAATTCACACCTTTAATGCCAGCACTCTGAGGGGAGAGGCGGGTGCATCTATGGGTTTAACGCCAGCCTGGTCTGCATACCAAGTTCTAAGTTAGCCAGGGCTATGTAGAGAGACTCTGTCTTTAAAAAGAAGTGTAAAAAAGGGGGGGGGCATATATTTAACAGAGAGCAAGAAGTGTACGAGAAGGCAGGTTTGAGGGAGGAAAGAGAAGGGAAAACATGATGTCATTATAGTATAAGTTCAAAAAATAAAAGAAGATTAAAACAACAATAAAAGAAAGTCAAGCAGGTTGAGCAGATACGTGCACACAAAGATAATCTGGGGCTAGGGGCATGGCGGGGAGATGACTCCATTGTAACAGGCTCGCCCTGCAAACATAAAGACCCAAGTGACAGTCCCAGAACCCATGTTACAAAGAAAAATAAGCCAGGCGTGAAGGCTCACATCTGTGGTCACAGCACTGGGTGACGAGACAGCCACATCCCTGAAGCTCACTAGCTGGCCTAGCCTACCGAGACAGCCTGTCTTAAGACAAGGCGGGCAACACCCGAGGACCCGCAGCAGAGGTTGCCCTCTGGCCTCCACATGTGAACACACCTGCATGTGGACCCCTCCCAACTGAAAGTCAGCCACTTCACCCTCCCAGCCCCCAGCCTCTGTCCCACAGGTGACCTCAGGGAGGGGTCCTGCGTCTCCTAAAGACAGTCTGTGCCCTCACATGACCCCTCTCAGACACGCACAGTGGCTCAGACGAGCCCTGCTCCACACCTTGCAGCGTGCCTGCTCCTGTGTGTCTTTCAGACCTAAAGGAACGGGGATTTTGTTGTTGTTGTTGTTGGTGGTGGTTTGTTGTTTTAAACAACTTACCACATGGTAGGCCATCATTCCCACTGGTGTTAGCTTGTTTCCGACTTGGGAGTGCTGAGTTAGGGCTGCAACTCGTATCCTCTGCCTGGTGCAGTTATGTTTGCAAGCCCTTATTGGGAATGATGATGTCTAAGGGGGCTGCTTGGGTCTCTGACTACAGCCACATTTAGGGCAGAGATAACCTCCCTGCAGCTTGAGGTTGCTCGGGATCTATGTCTGCATCTTTGGGAGGTGCCGAGGAGCTGGGTGAAGAGGTTTAGGCAGGTCCTCTCTGGGCTTGGAGCACACCGTGGCATTGATTTCCCTAGTTTCTCTTTAGGAAGGTTTTGTTAAGAAGCTAACGGCCTTTAACTGCCCTTCTGCTCTTCCTTCGGGAGATTAACCGGAACAGAAGGAGCATGGAAGGAAATTTCGTCTTCTAAACTATGAATAGCTATTGTTATCAGCTGGTTAAACCCGGCAGCCTGTGCTGATAGACGTGAGCTCACAGGTCTGTGGATCTGACTGGTCTAGACTGGCCCAGCTGGGGCAATGTAGCTGTGCCCTGTGTGCCTTTCATCCTGGATCCAAAGGCTCAGTCAAAGGAAGGGGACACAAACATGGTCTCTGAAGGCCAGGGCTTAGATCTACTATCCATTACTTCCACTTTATGCTACTTGTTAGTCAAAGCAAGTTCATGGCTGAGCTCAAGTTCAAGGGCAGGGAGATGCCTCTTCTGTGCAAACTATCGAGGAACATGGCAAGCCCCAAGTGAAGTCACCCCCAAGCATTCTTAGTGTTTTTGCCGTGCAATTTGTTCTGCTGAAGGGGGCTTCCCCAAGTGACCCCAGACCAGGGGCTTCCCTTGAGGTCAGGCTGGCATGTGGGCTCTTCAAGTAAGTACCAGTCTCAACCAAACAAAACTCCAAGCATATTTTGGCTGCAGTCTGGGGCTGAAGTGACTGACTGTTGATGGGCCAGTGTGGGAACCGGGCATGCTGAGCGCTGCACCATGGCTCAGTTCAAGGAGCCTTTGTGGTCATTTGGTGAGTGACAGGCTTCTCCTTGTTGCAGGGGAATATGGGTCCCGCGGCCTTCTGGCTCCTTCTCTACCTCCTCAAGAATCCTGAGGCCCTTGAGGCGGTCCGTGAGGAGCTGAAGCGCGTTGTCTGGCAAGCGGAGCAGCCTGTTTCGGAGATGAGCACCCTCCCACAGAAGGTTCTCGACAGCCTGCCTGTGCTAGGTAGGATTATCAAGCCTGCTAACCTGGGTACCTCCAAGGGTCCCTCGGTGTCCTCCATGCCCAGGATCACTACCCAAAGCTCCTCCTGGCCTCAAGAGATTTGTGGTGTTAAGTGACAGAGAACCAGAAGGAGCTGTGATGAAAAAGAGGTTCAATCCGAGTCACGCAACTGAGAGCCTTGAGCTCTATAGCTTCAGGCTCAGGTGAAGCCAGGGGCTTGAACAATGTTGCCAGCACTATGTCTCTCTCCCTCCTTCAGCCCCATTTTCTACTGGGGTGCCCTTGGACTATGGAGGCTGGCCAGCTGCCAGCAGCTGGAGGCGGAGCCTCTCATCCAGCATTCCCATCTTAAATCCCAGGAATGTGTTCATCGGCCTTTCAGGTTATATGCCCGCCCACCCAGAACCAAACATGGGGCTCAGAGGGGTAGGCCAATTGGCCAATGAAAACTTAAACCTACCAGCTAAGAGTAGATCAATTGGGTTGGAGAGATGACTCAGAGGTTAAGAGCACTGACTGCTCTTCCACAGGTCCTGAGTTCAATTCCCAGCAACCACATGGTGGCTCACAACCATCTATAATAGCCAGCAGGAATATATGCAGACAGAACACTGTATACATAATAATAATAATAAGAGTAGAACAACTGTCCAACTTCTGGAAACAGGGGTGTGGTCCCTAGATGAAGGTCAGGGGACTGTTTCCACAAGAGAATGTATGCTGCAGGTAGAATCAGACACTGAGCCCTAAACTCTCCCCCACAGGTGTCAGATAGCCCTGTGGCTCCCACTCTCCCATAGCCCCTCACATCCAAGGTTTCTCAGGGACCACAGAGTGCGCACTTGGTCACCTGGCTTTTCCCACCTTGCTGTATGACTGTGTGCAAGGTGAACCCTCTGCCCATTGCTCTGTTTGTCCAGTGGGCCAGAGGTCAGCTTGCTAACCCTTCCTGCCTCGCGCTTGCAGACAGCGTGCTAAATGAGACCCTCCGGCTCACGGCTGCCCCCTTCATCACTCGCGAGGTCATGGCAGACCTGGCCTTGCCTATGGCAGATGGGAGGGAATTCTCTCTTCGACGCGGTGACCGCCTCCTTCTCTTTCCTTTCCTGAGTCCCCAAAAGGACCCGGAAATCTACACGGAGCCTGAGGTCAGTAGCAGGGGCAGAGTTGGACATCTCAGGGACTGTGGGAGTGGGGGAAACGAGAGACTGGGTCATCAGCTATCCCGGACGTGGCAGCCTGCTGTGATCTTCACTCCCTCTGCCGCCTGGGAATTGTCGTCTCTACGGTCCTCAAAGCCAGCCCCTGTCCAGTCACTTCCCATCATGCTCAGCTGTGACAAGTCTGCATGAGCTCTCTAGTCCTTCATCCTGGTGCAGGCTTATGTGGGGTGACATCACTTTCTTGTTTCAGGTATTTAAATACAACCGATTCTTGAACCCCGACGGGTCGGAGAAGAAAGATTTTTACAAAGACGGGAAACGACTGAAGAATTACAACATGCCGTGGGGAGCAGGGCACAATCAGTGCCTGGGGAAGAACTATGCCATCAACAGCATCAAACAGTGAGCTGGTGGCAAGGCATGGGGGTGGCAGGGTGTGGGGGCAGCGGTGCATGGCCCAGCAGGGAAGGAGCCCATTGGTGGGGTGTGACCAGGGCAGGGCTTGGATGTGGCCCAGGAGGTAACCAAGGTACGGTGACACCTGATGCCTCTGTGGCTTTGACTAATGGCCTCAGGCTAATGGTTACAGGATTAGATCCCAAACTGGCAGAGAGTCAACTCCTGTCTGCTAATCTGTTTGTGTTTTTAAAATGTGGGCTCTTTTAAAAATCAGAAGCATTCTCAAAAAAAAAAAAAAAAGTTCACATCTCTGATTTCTTACACAATGATCAGATCTGGTAGCAGGGTTCTCCCTCTGAGGGTGGCGTGGGAATGCCAAATGCTGGCTGCTGAGTCCAGCTGGCTGTGGCTGTCCATCTGGGGCTGCCAAAGCAGGTTCAGACCTCTGTGGCAGAACCTGGCTGAACTTCAGGGCTCCCCCCCCCCCCCCCCCCCC